CTTATTTGAAGCAGAGAGGCGAACAAGTATATACGGACAATTTCATAAGTAAATTTATAGTCAAATTGCATAAGAGCACAGCAAGGCAAAGCAAGAACTAAAAATAGGATTTGAGTACATATAAACATGTGGAGGGGGATGGATCATCGAGTGATATTTAAACAATCAACATTTTAGCTCGAGGCTGTCATGTGATCTAGTGTTCATAATAGTGCAAAGAAATATGTGAATTGTTACTGTTCTAATAACATGGTCTGTTAAGTAAGTTAATAAAAGGGCTTAATCAAAATTAATTATGATCGAAATCGGTTGTAGGATAGTTGCTATAAAAAGTTGTCAATAGACTACGTAGAATTATTGTAGATTGTCTAATTGTCAAAATTGTATTCATTATATGGCAAACCAAAAAGAGAATCATATTAAATCTACAACCTTCCATAACAGGATCCTGGTATATAAAATAATATTTTTCCGAACAGTTAAAAGAATAGTCTGATCTGTTTTAGTCTTAACAATCAGTAGATCTAATGAATATTTAAAATTCTGACAGCAAAAAAATGTTAAATTAACACAAAATAGAGTAGAGTTGTTAATAAACCAATAATCAATTGTTAAGTCTTTGATGAATTGAAAGCAATTGAAATATGAAATGGAAATCGAAACAATATGTGTGGTGTGTGCTACTTATATTGACATAAGTAGTAGATGATGTTATTCGTGAATAGAATGTCTGGCAGCAGAGCTTAGTGTTTGAAGGCAGTCAAAGTAACATAGAATATAATCTAGAAGTTAAACGTTAGAAGAAAAACAACTAAACATTCTGTCATAAATAGTGTACCATATGAATTATTTATTAATCTCTTATTCATTATAACGTTATATTGTCCTACTATCTTCTTTTCTTATCAAATAATCTTTGAATAATGACAATGGTATGTTTAGTACTTAAAACAATTCATAATTTGTAAGATGAACTGCTTGTTTCAGTCTATAGTGAAATTTAAATCAAAGAAAAATATCTTTGTCAAATTAACTGTTGAATGTGATCAAGACTTTGATAATATTGATAATATTATATAAAGTTTGATTCTGAAATAAGATTGTTTATTCGAATAAGGCCTAATGAGTTCTAAGCATTCTCATATTTTTACATAAAAAAACTAGGTTCTTAATAGTTGAATTCATGAGTCAATTAAAGCTAGACTACCATGGAAAACCTGGGAGTACTAGATGGCCATTTCATCCTAGTATGGATCTCCTCAGCAGTGCGCATCCACGATCCCGCCTCGCAAGATTCGAGCTTAGGACCTATCAGTCTTCCGTGCAAACGCTTAGACTTTAAATCACTGAGCCGACATCTGATGGTGTTAACATCTAACTTTAAACAATCCACGATTTTGTTTTACAATTATTTCAATTTTATGATATCCATTATACAGTTCAATTAATGAATATCATATTAAAGAAGTTAATTACCAGATAGATGCCTGTGAAAAGAATTATCTTATTGAAAAAAAATGTTAACCTCTCAAAGTAATTTTTTAATAAGATTTATGAAATCCCTAACAACAAACAAATGCAATTAGCTTATTTGAACATCATATTCAGATGAGGTGATTTGTTTAACAGTGAACAACAATCTAACTAAATTGATTCTTGAATTCAAATTATATTGTTTTAATGTTCGATTGAAACGCTTAAATTAAGATGACTGTATTACCGTCAAGATTTACAATAAACTGGATTATTAAAAAAAACATTGGTCACTTTTTAAAATTTGTTTATAGAAAGTATTTTACTAGTATAGGGGTTGTGGAGATTATTAAGTTTTTGATTGAGATCATGAACCGATTGATGTTAGACCACCTTTGGAAACCTGGAAGCACTGGAAGGCTGTTTCCTCCTATTGTGGGACTACTCAGCAGTGCGCATCCACGATCCCGCTCGCGTGATTCGAACCCAGGGCCTACGGCCTCGCGCTCGAACGCTTAACCTACTGGACCACTGAGCCGGCATCCAATGGTGATAGTGTATTTTTATTTTATTAAAAAAGGTAAAAAACAAATTTAAATTCCTACATTGGTTAAGAATACTTCATTGGCTTTTTTAACATTGCTGACCTACAATGTTTATCAATGATAATGAATAAATGTTTCATATAAACTAGAGAAAAAAAAGAGGTGACGAGGGTAAATAAATTCTGAACTCAAGAATGATAATTAAATTAATAGGCTAATTATGAAAATAACTCTATTTTATATACCTATTGAATGGGTGTATTTGAAATGTAACACAGATAGAATATTGTTGTCAATATAATTGTAAGAAATGTTGTGATTGTATACATAAGGACATATCACAACTAATTAGTTAAATACCCGTTAGAAACTAATGATACAGTTAAAAATCTATGTCTGTAATACAATCTAACCAAAAATATGGTAAAGATTATGAAAATTCCAAAGTTCCTATAGTCACCTGGATTAAGCATGTTAGTGAGGGCATTAAAATATGATTTGATTGACAAATTTATATGTAACTTTTGAAGTACATTGATTACAATTAAAGTAAAACAGAATATGCATAATATTCATGGTTGATTGGTCACTAATTGGTGATCCTTTTTATTCTTTTCTGATCCTTTGAATATTGATCGTGATCTATTTTGGTCAAGTCGAAATACAGCCATTAGTTTAGGTGACTCAACTGTGTTAATATGTTCAGTAGTTGATGGTAATCAACAGAAAATCTTCCATGCTAGTTGGAATTTATCAACAAGACTTATCTGTTATAGGTATTTTTTGAAATTCAGTCGTGAATTTCCCTATTCACAGTGGTTTATTGTAAACTAGTTAATGAGCATCGTCATGTACTTAAGTTATCTTTTTATTTTGATATATATCCAGCTGAAACAATACATGATGGATATCAAATAAATTAATCAAATCTATAGAGTTGGGTTAGATTTAATCCAGAAGAATTTCTCTCTGCTCAACTTTCACAGAATGTAGAGTCGTTCCTAAGGAATCTCAAACATTAATTCTAAGGTTTATTAATAAATAAATTCTAGGAATAGTGATCCAGATTTTTAGGAAAAATTTAGTTAGTTTTTTCAGTAGTGTCGTATCAAAACTTCAGTGTAATCTTGATGTTTGTCATTAAGCCTCAAAAGATTCAAATTAACGACAACTGTATACCTCTTGAATGCATTAATATGTTGTCATAAATGAGTTGAGTAAACGAGGCTCTGCAATAACCTAGATTAATCGACTGTGTTTCGTGTGTAATAACCATATCCTACTTTGATGGACAGCAAATTAGAGTAAATTCACGGCACAAACATGGACTGTGATTTTAACAAAAACCCATAACGACAAGAATGTGAAATCCAGTTTAAGCCGTAATGTGCTCTACATGTTTTATCTATGACGAAGACATTGAACAGGATAATTCACGTGATAAATTGTATGAGTAATAAAGAAAATTCTACTGAATCTGGAGCTGTCAAATAGAAGTCTCTCTTAACATCGAAACTCAAAGTGAAGTGCTATACACTTCTTTTCATTATTTTCAGAAAATGAGGATTATTACTGAAAAAAATGATAGAAATATACGGCAAAGCTGGTAATAAAAACGGTACAAGCACAAAAATTACAAATTTTGAATCAAAAATCACTAAATATGAAGTGAATACACAATTAATGAACAAAATTTTTTAATTCTTATTCATATATTTCTGAATCCAATGATAACATTAAGGTTTATACACGAACGTTCTGTTTACTTAGTTGAGGCATACAGGGTTCAGTTTTCAAGTATATCATGATCTACACTTTTCAACACTCACAAGTGATCTAGAAAATCACATTCACCATAGGATTATTTCACTATAATAAATAATGAATATCAGTATTCAACTATTAAGTAAGATATCCCGATTACTAACTGTTAATTTATTGAACTAACCAAATATTTATTTTCTAAACTCTCAGAAATAAACAAAATCAAGAATTCTGTTGTTTTGGTTTGATGAAATCGATAACGCAATGAGCTATTAGACGACCTACTATGGAACTAATATCATAACATTAACTAAATACTGTTTGGTAAACATTCAGGAAGTTTTATTGAAATCATTGAATAATAATGTCTCTCCGCCTCATTGCCTTATGCTAATTTGCTATGATATGGTTTTAAGAAAAATACTCAGATTTTACACCGTTATTCTAAGACAGTTCTAGTTAATTACTGTGAATGTTCATAATTTGTGAGCTACGCATATGAGTGAATTGTTCAGTAATGACTTAGTACATTTTTATTGATTTTGTAAATAAATAACCTGAAAAGTAATGTAACTATGGTCAAAATAGTGATTAGTTCACGTCTCTTTAGTTGTTTCAGCAAAATATTTCATTTTTGTTCCACTAAAGAACATCAACATTATTTCTCGAATAAATAATCACAAGGGATTGATCATTTTATCATACTCTTCATTATTCAAACTAATCGCCAAAGATGTTTATTGCCATGATGAAGAGTATTACCATAAAACATGAAACTTTCTGAAGGTTAAAATGATTGAACTGAATGTTCTTTCATATACTTTACAAGTTTATTTACATTGTAATCAGTAATAAACTTAGCTAGAAAATCCCTAATTCTATTTAAACTTTCTACTCCAGCTTTCGTTTAAGTAGACGAAAGCCATAGATAGTACCACAGAATGGTTATTCATGCGTTATTTGTCTAATTGATAATGTGACGATATAAAACAAAATTATCGTAAATACATTAAATATTTGAACGAAATGTTGTTATTTTTAAAAGGCTATTCGGGACCATAATCCTGATGTTCAAAAATATTGACAACCATTATATGACTTTATAACGTTGACTAGAACTTGTTGTTTGATAGAGTAAGAATTACTCTTTAAACAATCAGTAATTTAGTTCAAGTAAGAAAAACATCCATTTAATTTTTTTATTTTAGAAGCATTTACCTGAGAACCGAAAAGATGTTTACCTTCGTTAATGCTCACACTTCTACCAGTGTATCCAATTGTCCGACGGTCAGATGAACCTAAAAGAGTATAAAAAACAAAGAATTTAACGTTATGAAAACACGCTTGTTATTCAATGAGGTTACTGGAAAACAATGTGAAATTATGACAAAATTAGTGAATAGATTTTGAATTTGAGACTACTCAGGAGTACGTGCACAAGACTAAGTACTCGATCATATTTGAGACTTTCAGATCTTTGTTTCAGTTGTGCTGTAGTAAAACTTTGACTATTTATACCAGTTAATCAAGTTGTACTTACATAAATGCGTACATAAAAATCCTTTCTCAAAATATTTGAGATACTCAGGAAAATTAACTAATGAATCTTACAAATTAAAGCATAATCATTTTCAGGGTAGGTTTGTAATCATACTGTGTAAATCGGCTTGATATATCCATCTAATGAGTCTAAAATAGAATGAAACTGATGTCATATATTCGTTTGCTAGCTATAATCCAAATAATATACAAACAATTGAAAAAGAAAAGAAAAACTTCAGTTCATCTTATGGATGGTTTTATTAAATTAATAACATAATATCACAGATTGAAATCATGAGTCAATTGAAGCTAGATCACCATGGAAAACCTGGAAGCACTGGATGGCCATTTCGTCCTAGTATGGGACTCCTCAGCAGTGCGCACCCACGATTCGAACCCAGGACTTATTAGTCACGCGCGCGGACGCTTAACCACTGAGCGGGCCGGCATCCAACGGTGTTAATGTCCAACTTCAACCAATCTACGAAATCGCGCCACCGTATACGATTGTCTTCAGTGAGCTGATATCTCACAACAGACCTGGTTGAACTCCAGTAGTCACGGCTTCTCACTAGAACACCAGGAACTGCCCCTTGAAGTCAGTCATCAGTGAACAGATGAGTATTGTCGGAAGGGGTTTGTGGAGATTTTAGAAATTTCACTCATGATTTGAATCCGTGAAATTTCTAATATCTCCACTAAACCCTTCTGATAATAATAACGTAATTGTTTATAATAACACGAAATAAGTAGTATATAGTCGTATATCTAATATCACAATTATTTCTTATTTCTTTACTTTTATCACTGTTTATCTCATTCTTCAATTTATTTATAATTGACTTTCATTGTAACCATTCGAATAATAAACCATCATTTCTTAGAAACAAATAAATAAATAATTCAAAAATGTTTACTCAATAATTCTCTATAAAACCTTTCTCTCATTTTTCTAATTTATTGATGCTTTTAAATGATTTACAATGAAAAAAAGAATATCATACAATGTATATATATATATATGTAATAAGTTGGTAACATTGATCTATTTTTTTGTAATGTTTCCGATATAGGTAAAAGATATTCTCATATAAACCAATTCTTGTTTTAACTGTAATATTTTCTTTCTTATAAACAATGTTTTCTTTTTAAACAACAATACGATATATGAATTATGATAAATTGATGTGAGTTTGTTTATCAATCGACTTACTTTTGTAGTGTCGGTTATATTATGCTAAGCCCCATATACTTTATCTAGCTTTCGGACAGCCCATTCTATATTCATTCTACTTGAGTCACATTCTGACCTTGTTATTTATTCGCTTATCAATCTTGACTGCATTTTTTTATGTGTGTGTGAATGTACATTTCTTATCCCATTACTGACCACATATCTGTAACGTACTTTTGTGTAACTATAAATATTGATTAACGCTTGGTTAAATGGGAGTTGGCTTACCAGCCATCTCCACTCTGCGTTCTTTTCTCTTCTTTCTATTCCATTCGCTTTATATACAATATATATGTATTCACAAGTCCATTCTCGTTATTCGATTTATTCAATTCCGTTATTGACTAACGCTATTAAAGTCGATGATTATATACGAGGATAGGCGATAACAAACATTCATTATGATCTACTTGGAGTCAGAACTCGGGCCACTAAACTTTCATTCAACTATAAAGTTTTTTTTGTAAATTTGTTTATATTGTTTATAGTATCTAAGAGTTAATGTAGTTTGTTTTAATGAAACTAATCTAACAAAATTTATTAGATAAATGTTTAAAAATAAAGTGATGTAAAAAAAACGAATAGTTAGTGATCGTGAAGATATGAATTATGGATTCGAACAAATGAAGTAACACTTTAATGTAATGCTAAGAGATGTTAAAGTTATGATAAAAAGTATCATGTTCTCAATAACTGCTAAGTAGTTGGTGTTGGTTGATAGGAAACCCATAAATGTAGGTTTCATACTAATTGAATTTTGTTAACAAGATATGCCCATAATTGTGAGAGAACTGATATTCTTTTGTAGAATTCAAACCCATTTCATAATAACATTTGAAAACTTCGATAAACTCATTCTACTTTTTCGTTTTCTTTTTTGTCTATCACTGTATACATGATGATTCAAAATAGTTCAAATGAAGATAAACAAATATGCATTACATGTTAGTTTTAACAGAGTATACCAATTTTCATACAAGTTTTAAAACAGGTACATTCAAATGACAAAAAATGCTTATGCATTTTATAAAAAGTTAACATTTTGAAAGATCAAACAGTCTAGAAAGTTCACTTTCAAACTAGTTTCTTAATGTAGGAATTACAATGAATATATTCAGTGTATTCAGATTAAACACTAAACAAATGAAAATTAAAGTCTATTCTTTGAAATTTTAATCGCAAACAAGAATCAGTAATTAATTTTAAGTTGTTTAGAAATTGAGCTGAATGATGAATATCTTAACATTTTTTCTTTGTAAAGTTCATTACAATACGGTAGATTTAATGTCAACTTATGGATCCTTTTTTTGTATTTTTCTGAAACATTCGCTGTCATAACATCGTATTCTTCAATATTTTAGGAAACATCACTTCGCTAGATTTAGAGAGAAAAAAAACATCGAAATTATTTTATTTTAACTAAGGAATCATTAGTTGTTTTACTAAATCTATAATCGTCCCTATAGAGTTTTGAAGATTGTTGAGTCTTGACTGAGATTATACTAGAACGAAACTTCCGTCCAGTACTTTCGGATTTGAGATGGTGGAGAAGATTTGTAGCTCAGGTGGATGATTTTGGTGGAGTTTTGTTCTCTGAGCTGGATGGTTTGGTCGTGAAGCTTTCATCGTTCTTCTGAACGACATCATCAGCACAAACTTCAGATAGAAGTGAAGTGTTTGAATTTCTCCATATGTGTCTCAAAGCTTGTTCTGTGCACCTCGACGTTGATTGGTTCTTATTGACCTTAAATTTGTCGTTGTTTACTTCTTTGTTTTGGTTGTGTCTCCCATTGTTTTGATTGTTGTTCTTATGTTTGTGCATGATTTTTCTGATTGGTTGATAAATTGGATTGAGTTCAATATGCTTGTTGATTGCTGATTGACCTGAGTCCCAGGCTTCTAAAAATTCTCTGGTGTTTTTGGAGTTTCCTCTGTCTAAGATTTCCACATTTTTCCAATCGAATGAGTGTCCGCAGTTGTCCATGTGTATTGATATAAGTGAAGAGATATCATGCCGTTTGACTGCTAATTGATGTTCATGTAGGCGAAGGTGAAGGGGGCATCCGCTTTGTCCGATGTAGTGTTTTTCGCAGTCGGATTTTCAATGATAGTCTAACATTGATCCATTCATGATTTCAATCAAATTCATAATTATAGTCTTCTTTTCAAACTAATTAAATTTTAAATCATAATATAAGCTGTCAACTACAATGACTTCACGGTGACATTCCTTTGCAAAAATCATTCTTCCTACTTTATTTGTCTTTTTTTAAATTTATTTTCCCTTTTGTCTCTTTTCTTTTATGCTAATGTGTTATGTTCAGTGTGTTACTGTTATGTTTTCAAGCATCATTATTGATTTTGTGTTTATTTCTCAGCTCTAGCATTTACTTTATCATTACTTAGAGATACTTAATGATTTTAGTGAGAATTCTGTAAATTTAATTTTAAAAAGTTTTAAATAATGGTGTTTGGGCTAAAATGTCATTTTAATAGTTGAGATCATGAGTCGATTGAAGCTACATCACCATGGAAAACCAGTGCTTCCAAGTTTTACATGGTGGTCTAGCTTCAATTAACTCATGATCTTAACTACTGAAGTTGCCATAATATCCACAAAAACCACTTCTGACACTAAAATGTAATTACTTATAAAAAATAATCATAGAATATATCTGTTTGATTTTTCAGTGGTTCGTGTTTTATCTCTTCATTTCAATCTACTTCAAACCGATCGAACATGTTAATTGTTGTGAATTAGATGAATATACAATGTTTTTCCTTGAAGTCATGATAAATATTTTATATCTAGCAGTTATTTGATGATACAACAACAACTACTACAAATACTAATACTACTACTACTACTACTACAAGTTATATAGCTAAACATAGTGGTATAGTTTTTCTAATATCAAACTTATTATAGCACATGAAATATCAAATAATTTCTTTCAACTGTCAGTAACATGAACTTAAAACAATTTTCAAATGCTACCAAACGAATTGAATACCTTTAACCCCTATTTATCACAAAATAGGGTTGATAGTTACATTTTGTGTTTAAATATAATCATTCTAACAAAATATAAGACAGGATGTACTAAACGAAGTTACGGAGTTCTTCCATAATATATGAAAATCATATATTAAATATTTCATTCGTAAATCTTTCATCAATTGTTCTTCACTTTCTGTATGATTCTTCCAGTTTACAAGATTTTTCCCTATTTTCCTTTCTACTTTCTTCAACTCGATTCTCTAAGCTTTCTGCTGCCATGCATTCTACTTATGATTTGTGCTGCATACTACTTAGGTCGAAAGTCATAAGTAGCATACATCATAAGAATAGCGTGTATATACATCCATCATATTCTTATATTTCTATTTGATTATTTATTTAAAGCACAGTTTGGTCTAACACTTCACTATGTTATTATATTTTAGGAATCGAATTACCATTTGAAATTTCATTTTTCTGGAAATTGTTTAAGTGAGTAATAAATACATAACATTATTATC